AGCTCTAGTTTTGGGGGGGGGGGGGGAAGCAATGTCTACCAGAAACAGATTTGATGCCAGAAATATTTTAACAGAAGAACATTGAATTGAAAAGAGACTGATTTCACAAATACATTGAAAACATGTAGTCAATTTTGCAATAGCATGCTCAAATCATTCTAATATCATCTAGTCTTAAACCAGTAAGGCTTTCACAGTCTTTAATAATAATAATAATGGTACTGGAGAAGACTCCTGCGAATCCCTTGGACTGCAAGGCAATCAAACCGGTCAGTCTTAGAGGAGATCAACCCTGACTGCTCTTGAGAAGGCCAGATCCTGAAGTTGAAACTCAAGTCCTTTGGCCACCTAATGAGAAGGAAGGACTCACTGGAGAAGAGCCTGATGCTGGGAAAGATGGAGGGCAAGAGAAGAAGGGGACGACAGAGAATGAGGTGGCCAGATGGAGTCACTGAAGCAGGAGGCCTGAGCTTCAATGGACTCCAGAAGATGGTAGAGGACAGAAAGGCCTGGAGGAACGTTGTCCATGGGTTGCAATGGGTCGGACACGACTTCGCAATTAACAACAACAAAAACATTAAAGTAAAAGGATTTTCCCAGCATAAGAGAGAAACTAAGAACTTAGTGGTTTTCAAAGCAAGAAAGATGCCCTGGAGGGGTATTCACTGGACTCCTCAGTGACTCATATACTGGGAGCTCAAAACTGAATGACTGCAATGTGCTTTTTGTGGGGACCGCCCTTCAAGAGCACAATGCATTTGGCCCTGAATGTGGCAGTATAAAATTAAGTGGAGACTTTTTGAGGTCTTGCATTACCTCCCATATGAAACAGCTCTACCGGTTGCTAGTTATCTTCTGAAATCAATCCAGCTTTCACAGTATATTAAATCATATGCATTTATGCTGCCCACAGCATCAGCTCCCATGCCATCCATCCCATGCCCTATTCATGCATCTTAGCAGGATCTCGAAACACAGTTATTTTCTCAGCCTCACTTTTTCTTTATTGATCTGTTTATTGTGTTTTGTAAGCCATCCAGAATAATTAAGGAAGTCAGTTTAGCTATCACTTTCTGGGGGGAAAAAAAGACAATTGAATAATTAGTTCTTCAGTTGTTCAGTTTATATCATAAACAGTATACAGCACATGCTGGTAAGAGCTAAATGCATTTATGAGCCATTTTGTTTGGGGGGGGGGAACCCTGCAAAGTCAAATCTTTTCCCAATTCATAAAGCTTTAAGTTATTTAATTATGATACAATTTTCCTTTCCTCAACTGGAAACACAGACCTATTCTATCCTCTTTTTAAAAGCAGGAGTTAATAATCTCTAAGGACATATATCCTTCATATCAAAATTACCTCATACAGAGCAAATAGCAAATATGCTCAGACAGAGCATAAAATTCAGAATTTACTGCCTTAAAAAAACAAAACAAAAACAAAAAACCTCTGAGGAAAAATTCACACACAACACAGACAAAATTGTAACAACCTTTTTGAATTAAACGTATCAAGGGATTAGAAGCTACAGTGTTTTTAACCAAGCAGACAATTCATAAACAACATATACTTCAATCCCAAAGAATGCATTTGGCCCACATATTAATGTGTGCATATTAATTTTCTGGAACATCCTTTCAAATGCTAACAAATATATGGGTTTAACCTGAAACACTTTATTTCTGTAGACTCTGACTAGTGTGAAACAGCTTGATGATCTTTACTAATTATATTAACTTGATTCAAGAGCTTCAAGAGTGCATTTGGATTGTATGGAAAGAGACTTTTTGCATGTAGCCTAGAAATTGACTTTTGCAGTTGTTGGAAGCATGTAGTTGCTTTCTGGAAAGCTTCACCTGCTAATTTACATTTTTGGGGGGACAGTTTGCTGCAAGAGGATGTTGAAATATTCAGCTCCTGCTCAGTTAAAGATAGCACGTCCTGTTTGGAGGTTTTTGCACTATCATCAAGAGTTGCTTTATTTGTACAGGCGTGACAATTTAAAGTTTCTTGTCCTGTGTCTGTCCAAGATTCTTCTCTTACACATTCTACATCAGAATCTTCTGAGCTGTCATAATCAACCAGCTTCTGAAAAGCCCCCAATAAAAGCGGTTGACTCGATGCGGTTACTAAATCAGACTTGTTGGGCTGCACAGCTTGATCGCCTCTCCGAGGGAGCGTAGACAAATTCAAGGAAGAAGATGAAAGGGCCTCTGTACAAGTCTGTGTATCATATGAAGTGCCCTGCATGGTGAGATCTGACTTGTGGACATATTTGTGCTGGCAGGGCAATTTCTCCTCCCAAATTCTGAGATCTTTGCCAACGGTGAACTTAAAGCACCCGGAAACTTGTACAAATTGGTGCCAGTCTTCCACAAGAAGTTTTAAATATTGTACAAAGTATTCCAAGAAACAGGTTTCAGATGAAATCAGGAAGTCCAGAAGAACCGTGGCGTCAAATGCAATGCTTCTTAACAGACATAAGAAGATACAGTGGGGATTATAGCCGTTTTGGTGCGTCCGATTGTCCTGGCTCCCGTCGTCTAAATGGCACGGGGTAAAATTAACATTGTGGCAGAACCTATAAAAATAAGCAAGAACATAGAAGATTAAATTGTGACCTCTAAGCCAGCAATCGTTTTATCAAGAACTCTTAACAGTAGAGCTGAGTTTATTATTTTTGGCCAAATAAATCAAGACTATTAGAATGATGACGGCACTCCAGCATTCTCTCCCACTGTGTGCTCTAATTCAAATCACATTAAAAGAATAAAGTGTGTGTGGGGGGATGTTGGACAAGAAAGAGAATACCTTCATCAACTGTAATTTGACATTAACATGAGATGGAAAAGAAAGGCATCAGCAATTCGTAATTACTAATTAGGAGGACTTGATCACTCTGTGGTCTTCATGTGGACACAAAGTATGGTTTAGATATATACCAAATAACAAATATTTGCCTCCAAACCATTGGAGAATAATATTTTGTGGTGTGCCACTGAAATAAAGGGAGAGAAAGCTTAGTTTAGGGGGACAACCCATTGTTGTATATGAACAGAAATCCAGGTGATCTTCAGGTAAAAATTTTGAGCAGGATTCAGTATGCAATGGTCTTCCATACCCTGCATTAAGGAAATCCAAAAATAAGGCAGCATGAAGTAACTAGGGCCAAGTAGAAGGTTTCAGACAGCTGGCATAAACAGATGGATTATAGGACTGGAAGTTTTTAAGAAGAGACTGGACAGCCATTTGTCCGAAATTGTATAGGGTTTCCTGCCTGAGCAGGGGTTTGGACTAGATGACCTTCAAGGTCCCTTCCAACTTTACTATTATTATTATTATGGATCATCGCACAGTCAGCCAGATGTTGTTGTTGTTATTATTATTATTACTTCCAAGATACCTAAGAACATAGAATAATAGGGTTGAAAGGGACCGTAGAGATCATCTAGTCCAACTCCCTACTCAAGCAGGAGACCCTATACTATCCTGGACAAATGGCTGCCCAGTCTCTTTTTGAAAACCTCCAGTAATGGAGCATCCACAACTTTTGATTAACTGTTCTCACTGGGGGAGGAAATTAGTCTTTAGTTTTAGGTTGGAAAAAACCTGAAAAGATCACATGTTTTGCAGTAAAATCTGCAAAAAAAACCCCATACCCTGGTATTCAGTTCAAAACACGTTTGGAACCCACCTCTTAAACACTCTTTGTCTTTTTCCCTACTGAATGGGAAATGAATTGAATTCACGACAAAGCTGAAGAACTATGTCGAAATTTCAGAATACAATTCTCTCTGTTTCATTGAGAGTAATTATGGACCAGGAGTTTATTTCACTGATCTCTCTGTCAATGCTTCTACGGTCTATTTAAAGAAGAGGTGCATATTTGCTTATCACGTTTACGATATGGAAGAATCCGGCACATCTTCTTTGTACTGCTTGTCAAATTCCTTGTATATGGAAGAAAAGAAACTCTAGATAATACCTTATTCTAAATGCAAACATTATTTATATGCTACAGTATTTGGGAGGAACAAGTAAGCTTGCTAGATTTGTCTCAGGGATTGAAGGAATTGGGAATAATTTTGCCTTAGAAGGAGTGTAATATGCTGGAAACAAAATGAAACAGAACGAATCGGTGTTCCAGTTTGAACACTGTTGCCTGAACTGTGCATTCACTTTCCTGATATTATTATTATTATTATTATTAATAATAATAATAATAATAATAATAATAATAATAATAATAATAATAATAATAATAATAATAATAATAATAATAGTAAAGTTGGAAGGGACCTTGGAGGTCATCGAGTCCAACCCCCTGCTCAGGCAGGAAACCCTATACCATTTTGGACAAATGGCTGTCCAGTCTCTTCTTCAAAACCTCCAGTGTTGGAGCATTCACCGCTTCTGGAGGCAGGTTGTTCCACTGGTTAATTGTTCTAACTGTCAGGAAGTTTCTCCTTAGTTCTAGGTTGCTTCTCTCCTTAATTTCCACCCGTTGCTTCTTGTCCTGCCTTCAGGCGCCTTGGAAAATAGCTTGACTCCCTCTTCTTTGGGGCAGCACCTGAGATATTGGAACACTGCTATCATGTCCCCCCTCGTCCTTCTCTTCATTAAACTAGACAATCCATAAGTATGACAATCCATAATTTTTAGCAAATAGAAGTTGATGGCTTATGGGGAAAAGGGCACTAACCTTTCAAAGTTTAAATAAATTGCCAGTAATGACTTTGCAGCTTCTACCATCTCATCATCTTGTTCTACAAACAGAGAAATCCACGTGCAAGGGTGTTCAAATAAGCAGATACTGGCAGAAGTCTTCAGGTGGCTTTTTAAGACTGTCAAGAGTAGACTCATAAGACTCTCCAAATGAACTAAAATGAAGGGGGGAGGGAAATCAAAACTACATAGATATATCTGCTTTTGATAAAAATTTACAATATCTGAGGAACAACGATTGTTTTAGCATTACCCGTACTAACGAAACATTTCAAAGGGAATGCAAAACAGTAGTTTAAAAAATCCATTTTGTAAGGAAATCGTTTCTGAAACCTATAGGTGACCAAGAGTGACAGGGAAGAAATTCAATGTGGCACAAACTTTCTGCTCCTGCAAAGATTAAAAGTATTCACGCCTACAGCTTCCATAATCCAGAAAACTGCTCCTGTATACATATAATTATCCACTCCACTAAAAAGCTCTCCACTTTAGCTGAGCCCCAATCTTTTATTGACTGTATATCGAGACTTCTGGGAATGCAACTTCTTAATTAAGTTGGAGACACAGTCAAAACTGAATTTCAAATTACACACTACACCGAACATCTACATTCTCTAGAGAGCCTCTGGATTACCACATCTGCTCAGGTTAAACACAATCCTCCCACATCTTGTACAATGTAGCTGCTTTGCTATATACACCTCAGTGCCGTGATGGGAATATTCTGAAGCAACGTTTTACTGAAATAGCAGACGGATGAATAAATGGCATCTTCTCTTAAAAGTAATTTATTTCTCCAGTGTCTGCGAAACCAAAATTTGCACGCCCGTTCTGCAGTTGCAGTTCTTTCAGTACATCATTATGGTTTGATCCTTAAGATCTATTATGTGCTGTTATAAGAAAACACCATCTTTTAATATTTTCTTATTATTATTATTATTATTACTCTTTTCTGAGGTTGCTTAGATTCTCTAGGCAATGCAAGGCAACCAACTTTAAAGCTTTAGTTACTCCATAATCTAGTAGCTAAGGCTGGTGGTTTAAATTATGGAACAAAAGTTCCTAGATAGCTTTTGGATAACTGTGATAAACCCACAGGTCTGTCTGGAAAAATTATTTCTCAAAGCATGTGTAACTTATAAGTAGGTAGTGAATCTTCAGGATACTGGAAGGAGGAGAAGTTCAACAAACGAAGGAGAGAAAAACTGGTGGATATGCAGACTTAACACATTTCTCCCTTCCACCCAATAAAGTCTTAATTTCCATTCCCCTAAACAGATATCATTTCAGAAAGGAAAAAGATATATTCAAAAATACAGTGGCAACCCCATTCATTTTCACCATGTTCATAGTCTACTCACAAAACACTGTGAAGCACTTTTAAGGCACTTTGGGAAGCCAAATTACCTTGCGATTCAGTTCTGTGGGCAAAATCCGGGATCTTCGTCTCTAACGCTTTAAGCAGAAGCAAGCTTAAGGATCTGAAGATCACGACGTCAAAGTTACTATTGGCACGTACTTGAGGTTCAACGGTGCTGCCATCAAAGTGGCTGAGATTTCCACTAACACACAACCCCTCCAGCCCATCAGACTTGACAAAGTGCAGTAGCACAGTATTGGCCAATGCTAATCGATCGTTGTCAGAATGAGGGTCCGGGTAAGGGGAAGGAAGCACCTTTGTCTGGATTAGGTCTTCGCCAGCTTTGCGAAGGATGCAGTTTTTAAGCAACACGATTGATTTCTTCCTGATGAAACCGTGAACGGGTGATGTGGCAAGGCAGCAGATATCGTAAGAGCTCAAAAACAATATCCTCTGGCATCCCAGGTTGAGTGGCATTTGAATCCTGGCAGCTGCCAGCAGCTCAAAGAGATCAAGAAAGCTATTCAAATCGTTTGTTGATTTTGCAGATAGTGGAACGTTGTGAACAGACGAATGATAAGAAAGGATGGAGCTGTAAAAATTCTCCAGTACATTGTCAAGTGGAGTTAGAAGTTTCTTCAGGTCACCTATAACAACAACAACACCAGCGTCAAGCAGGGCTTAAATATGACAGGGAGGCCTTAACTAAATTATCCATCAAAATTAGAACTTTTTCTCGTTAAAAAACTCTTTTCTGTTTCTTCCATGAAAATTTACAAGACAAGCAATATATCCATAACAATATGAACATATCGGTAGTTTCCCAAAGAGTTAACTATACACTGATCTTCTATTAGGTGCTTGCAACAATTGAAACAGTACCTCTTCTGCGAGTGTTGTCATCATTCAACATTTCTTTTATTAGATTGGTCAAAGTCCAGAGGCATCCTGCTATTGAACTATTACTGGGAAATCCTGATAAAGTCTCTACACAAAAAGCAATCCAGGCACTGTTTAATGAATTCTGGGAAAAGAGAGAGGATGCATATTACTCTGGGTTACACTGAACAAATGTCACACACAAAAATCGAGACAAAGGAGAAGCACGAAAAAAGGCAACTATTCCAAAGGTTTTTGGCATTGGCAATGATGGGTTTCCTCATCATTTTGCTCTCTTAGTAAGTGACTAGCTAGCCAAACCAGTATTACAAAGTAAGGACTGTATATTTTATTACCCAACCCGTAGAGCTTTATTACTCAACGCTTTGCTTTACCAGTCATAAAAGCAGAAGAGTAGATAGAATAGATAGACTACTTTATTTGGCCAATTAGACACACAAGGAATGTGTCTCTGGTGCAGAGGTTCTCAAGGTACATGCAAAGGGACAGAGTAATAATCATCATCATAATATAACATGACGCTAATAAGAGGAGGTAGTAGAGAAGATGAGAAGGATGACAATACTAATACTACAGCCATACAACATTGGTAAATATATTTAGACATAAAACAATACTGTGAGGATTAGGTCTATGGGTCCCCTTACTTAATTAATCCACATATAGGCCTCCTTACTTAATTAGGATAAAATCAGTTGTATGATGAACTAATTCAGATTGAAAATGAGAACTCATAAAGCAGCAAAGTCTCTCTAAATGGTATGCTAAATGAGGTGTAAATACCTTCTTGGCAATTTTTGAGGACTGAAAGAAAGGGGAATGGTTCCGTCCTAAGGGAAAGTACACTGGGTGGAAAAGGACATGGATTTGGGTGGGACACTACCATTGCTTCAGTTCAGTCAAATTCAGGCTAGAAATTTCAGCTCTGATTGTAGGTTATTGCAAACAGTAGTTCCCATACATACACTAGATCTGCAGGAAAATCTGCATGCAATTTAAACAGGGGGACATCCAAAATGCAATTTCTCTTGTCCTATCCTATGAAGCCCTCTATCTGATTATTTTAGTACTGCACTATGACACCGATTAGCAGGAGGAAACCAATGAGATACAGTTGCACATGTATACAGAGTGTCTATACTTCACAATATTGTCGACACCAACTATTTTCTTGGTAGGAAAAGCAGCAAGTCGAAAACAAAATGTCCAACCTAACAACCATCTTCCTATTTTCTCTCTCTCATGTTTTAATGATATATGTAAAGAACATTCAATCATTATCTCCACTCCCCATCTTTTAAACCAACCATATGCCACAAATAACTAAAAATGATATGCACAGACTAATAAACATCAATGCACTGTGAGACAGTGAAAAAAAACGAAGCCACTTATGAGGGTGGGCTACAGAATTTTGAGATGAGCTACTAAGAGTCGCAACATTATTCATGAAATATACTTGCCCTTCCTTTTTATTTTTATCCATCAACATGTTTCAACTGTCTCATTCCAGGGGTTCTAGACAGAGGTTCTAGTTCTATATAAGTAATGGTTGTAAACAATCAAATGCAAATGTGGCATTAAAAGCTCGCAGTGCAAAAGCTGCACAAGTAGGAAAAAGCAATAAGGAATTAAAAACGAAAAGAATGATAACCAAATGACTAAGTATGCCCAATCTAAGTACACTGGAAAAGCCCCCCCCCCCCAGTTTGAAAACTCAAGAGGTTTTCCTGGCTGCTTTTGGAAAAAAATATTCTCCTGCAAAAACAAGAAAACATGATAAAATTCATCTTGAAAGACTGTTATCGGGTAGGGAAAGACTGAGAGACAATTCATTCATTTTTAAGATAAACTAGCTAAAAAAAACCCTGGCTTGTTACCCCATTAAAAAGAAAATGGTGGTAGAAATAGATGCACCATTACAAACATTTAGCTATACATATCCACAAAAAGTATAGTTCAGCGGAAGAGATATTTCCTTCAGTATAAAATAGGAAGAATGTCTCTCTAAAGAATATGCTTCGTCATGTATGGATTTATAGTGTTTACATTTTAAAAAAATCTGGCCATCTTTGGGAGAAAAGTACAGGGCCCAATGAGAAAGGCAGAGACATCTGTCCAGCCAGCCAAATGAGTAAAAGCAATCTAATTAGAAGGGGGTAGCAGATGGTACCACCAGGTATAAACTTACCTCTTCTTTACTAGGAGAACAAAACAGGCTGAATTGAGAGTACACGAGATGTAATTAGTATTTTTTGCTGGGCGGGGGCTTATAACATTAAAGATTAAGTTACATTCTGTGCTGCGTGCTCATTGTACAAAATCCTGAACTGTTAAAATGTTGAAAGCTACATTGCATTTGTACTTGAAATAAAACAAACCAAAACAAACCAAACCACAAAGCAGATACATTCGCTTAAATAGTAACAACCCCAAAGCTCAGTTTCTGACTTACATCTTCTGTTAGCTGAAAGTGCACAAGGGAGGCTGAAGTTTTGGAAGCCATGTGAGAGAGCTGTTGATCTGAACGACCTAACAGAGGAATCTAGAAGAAATGGAAACAGAAAGAAGTTGTAGCTACAAGACACCTTAATGCAGTGGTTCTCAACCTTTTTAATGCCGCGACCCCCAACCGGTCGTAAGTCGAGGACTAAACCGGTCGTAAGTCAAGGACTACCCAACCGGTCGTAAGTCGAGGACTTTCCCTGCCCGGGAGCGCCGCGCATGCGTGGTTCCGCCCCCTGCGCCGGCCGAGGCGTAGCTGGCAAGCGGCAGAGACGGAGCAGGCCGACCACCAGCTGGCCCAGCTCAAGGGAGGTAAGGCACCCGCCGGAAAAGGAGGGAAAAAATGGCGGACAAAAAAAATGGCGTACAGCCTTGCTTGGCGACCCCCGTGAAATGGTCGATCGACCCCAAATGGGGTCGCGACCCACAGGTTGAGAACCGCTGCCTTAACGAAGATATTTGAGAAAAACGTAACCTTTGGGAAACTTACTAATTCAGACACAATGTTCGATTCTTCCAGAATTCTCAGGATCTCAATGTATTTCTGTTTTATTTCAGGAGCCACCTCTTGCAGTTGCAGTTTGGCATGCATCATCTTGATCAAAGTTAACTGAAGCAGAATCATTTCCCGTGTAGGGCACTTCAGATGGCTACAGTTTTTAGAAATATCACGTTCGTGGTTTATGGAGTCTAGACCAGAAGAGATCTTAGCATCCAACTTAGAAAAAAAATGACAGCCACATAATTCATGATTTTGGGCGGATGAAAAAACCGAAGGGTTTAGAAGAGCTGCACAATTGTAACCATCTTGGGCTAACAAAGCCCCGGCAATTATATCATTATACATTTTTTGAAGAAAGTGAAAGTACGTCCCCATTATCAGCAATTTTTATATATCCAGGGATTCTTTATATAGTCAAATCAGCAGGATTTGAATTGGGGTTTTTTTGGGGGGGAACTGTCTCTGTTGTAAGATGGAACTTTGTGAAGATTCCAATTCCATTGTACCTAATAAAAAAAATATGACAAGAATATGAGGACAGTAATGATTCTTAGTGAACTAAGTCAAAACAATTCAAGTTGCTATCAGATTAGAAACATTTCAGCACCAAGAACGATTCAAACATGACTGCTAATTACTATTTTATTAGATTTATATTCCACTATTTCTTCACTCAAGGTAGTTTACATGGAGGCCTCTGTCTTTTTCATTCTCACAGCAACCCTCTTGAAGTGGGCTGAGAGAGGCAATTCTTCTCTCATTTTGCTTATTTTTTTACATTTCTCTCTTTTTAAAAAAAACCTTATATATTCGTACTACCCCAATTTATTAAAATAACATCCTTGGCGGAGTCTAGGTCAGAACCTAGTTGCAGCTTAATCACTAACATTTAATCACTTGTCATACTATCAGTGATTGCATGACCTCTGTGGATGCCACACACTAGTTATACTAAAAAAACAAAATATTTGAATTCTCTAAAGTACCTTAGGATTTTTTTCCTCTGTCACATGTGGTCATCCTAATTCTGCTCAAGATCGCCCAAATAACGATCCTAATCCTGTCCCTTAAAAATCTTGTATTTGAAGATAATTCCTCTCTCTTCACCTCTTTTTTTTTTTGCACATCCACTATTTTTGAAATCTTAAATACTCATACTGCACACAGAAATGTAGTCTAGAGGAAACAAACTACTTAATTCAGAGCAGCTCACAGTATTTAACTTAGACTTGGAAGTTAAGCATTCTAAAAGGTGGAAATTATAATGCTTCTGCATTGTTACGAGGCAAACTTCTAATGCATGGATGCATCATTGTAACTACCAGGAGTTGCACTTCAGGGTTTTTTTTTCGTGGTCCAAGCAGATGGCAATTTGGTCATGGTTAAAGCACAAGGCTAAAAACTGGAAGACTGTGAGGCACGCTGGCTGAGGAATTCTGGGAGTTGAAGTCCATAAGTCATAAAAGGGCCAAGTTTGAGGACCCCGGATTTAGATTTTATGTGTGTGTGTTTATGGTTATATGTATGCATATACTATATAGCATTATATATATATGCGTGTGTGAACATGTATGTGTGTACACACATACACACACACACAATCATCTGTATATATACAGATAGACCTTGACTTACAACAGTTCATTTGGTGACTGTTCAAAGTTACAACGGCATGGGAAAAAGTCACCTGTGACCATTTTTCACACTTGTGGCCGTTGCAGCATCCCCACAGTCACGTCATTTACATTTGGATGCTTGTCAACTGGCGTGGATGATGGTCGCAACGTCCCGGGGTCACAGGATCCCCTTTTGCGACCTTTTGACGAGCAAAGTCAATGGGGAAGCTGGATTCGCTTAATGACCCGTGTTACTAACTTAAACCACCGCAGGGATTCACTTAGCCAAATGTGGTAAGAAAAGTTGCAAAATGGAGCAAAAATTCATTTAACAACTGTCTTGCTTAGCGAGATCAATTCTGGACTCAGTTGTGGCTGTAAGCCGAGGACTGTCTGTGTTATCATAGGCAAATATAACACGATCGATCGATAGATAGATAGACAGATAGATAGATAAGATGACTAGATAGATAGATGATAGATAGATGATAGATAGATAGATGATATAGATAAGATGACTAGATAGATGATAGATAGATAGATAGATAGATAGATAGAAGGGGGGATGGATGATTGATAGAAAATCCAGGTGATAGATCCAGGAGATGATATATAGAGAAATAGAGATATAGAGATAGATATGTATATATGATAGATAGACAGACAGGATGGACAGATATCGGTGATGGATGGATGATTGATAGAGGATAGATTATTTATTTGAAATAGAGATATATAGATAACTAGATAAGTAGATAGATAACAGATAACAGATAGATATAAGAGAGAGAGAGAAGGGGGGGGGATGGATGATTGACAGACAATCCAGGCGATAGATCCAGGAGATGATATATAGAGATATATAGATAGATATGTATATATGATAGACAGACAGATAGGATGGACGGACGGACAGACATCGGTGATGGATGATAGATAGAAGATAGATTATTTGAAATAGAGAGATATAGATAACTAGATAAGTAGATAACAGATGATAGATAGATAATTGTATGTATATAGACAGACAGACAGATAGATAATTATAGATAGATAGATGATAGATAGATGATAGATGATAGATAGATAGACAGACAGATAGATAATTATAGATAGATAGATGATAGATAGATGATAGATAGATGATAGATAGATGATAGACAGACAGATAGATAATTATAGATAGATGATAGATAGATGATAGATAGATGATAGATAGACAGACAGACAGATAGATAATTATAGATAGATAGATGATAGATAGATGATAGATAGATGATAGATAGATGATAGATAGACAGACAGATAATTATAGATAGATGATAGATAGATGATAGATAGATGATAGATGATAGATAGATGATAGATAGATGATAGATAGATGATAGATAGACAGACAGACAGATAGATAATTATAGATAGATAGATGATAGATGATAGATAGACAGACAGATAGATAATTATAGATAGATAGATGATAGATAGATGATAGATAGATGATAGATAGATGATAGACAGACAGATAGATAATTATAGATAGATAGATGATAGATAGATGATAGATAGATGATAGACAGACAGATAGATAATTATAGATAGATAGATGATAGATAGACAGACAGATAGATAATTATAGATAGATAGATGATAGATAGATGATAGATAGATGATAGATAGACAGACAGACAGATAGATAATTATAGATAGATAGATGATAGATAGATGATAGATAGATGATAGATAGATGATAGATAGACAGACAGATAATGATAGATAGATGATAGATAGATGATAGATAGATGATAGATAGATGATAGATAGATGATAGATAGACAGACAGACAGATAGATAATTATAGATAGATAGATGATAGATGATAGACAGACAGACAGATAGATAATTATAGATAGATGATAGATAGATGATAGATAGATGATAGATAGATGATAGACAGACAGATAGATAATTATAGATAGATGATAGATAGATGATAGATAGATGATAGATAGACAGACAGATAATTATAGATAGATGATAGATAGATGATAGATAGATGATAGATGATAGATAGATGATAGATAGATGATAGATAGACAGACAGACAGATAGATAATTATAGATAGATAGATGATAGATAGATGATAGATAGACAGACAGACAGATAGATAATTATAGATAGATAGATGATAGATAGATCTATAAAAAGCTCTTCTCCGGGGAACCCTACCTTTCCATTCTTCTCGGCATACATTCCAAGATATTGTGTGGGTTTGTGTGTGGGGGGCAGGGAAGAAGGTCCTATTTTCCAGGAGGGACGATTTGCGAAGAAATGTCACACACACACACACACACACAACCCGATCCTGGGATTGGAGCAACCCTAAGGACCCCCCGCCCCTTCCCCTCAGTCTTCTCGGCCTGCCGACCAGACGTTCCCCCGGGAAGCCCCAAGCCCTCCTCGGCGCCTCCAGCGCAGCTGCGGCCCCGACGGGCTCTCCCAGCCCGGCTACCGAGACTTCCGGCGGGGCCCCTAGAAATAAGAAAAGTTTTACAAACGACTTCCGGCACAAGGCAGGAAAGCCGATCAAGCCTCGGAGGTCTGTGTGCGTGGGGGGGGGAAGGAGGAGGAGGAGAGAAAGCGGGCAGGCGCCGATCTGCCCACCCGCACCTCTATGATCAAGGGCTCCTTTCTCTCTCTCCCCGGAGAGCCTTCGAGAACCCAAAGTTGCCCAGACCAGACGATGCCGGAAGTGTCTGTAAGGGCGGCGGGGGGGGGGCGGGGCTCGTAGAGCCGAGAAAGGAGGAGAGACGCCAAGAAAAAAGAAGAAGCAAGAGGAGGAGGAGGAGGAGGAAGCGCCAGAAAGGAGGCGGGGAGAGGCGTGGCCTTTCGACTCCCCCGCCTCCCCTCTCGCGGCGTCCAATCCGGAGAGGCGGTGGGCGGCGGCGCGCGGGCGGCGCGGCCGCTGATTGGCCGCGCGCCGGGGTCAGCCCAGGCCCGCTGACCCCGGAGGGAAGGAGCGGAGGTGGCTCCTACTCCATCAGTCAAGTCAGTCAGGGCAAAGTGGCTCCCTTTCCTGCTGCCTGCCTGCCTGCCTTCGGCGGCCGCCCCGCTTTGCTCTGCCCGCCGCCCCGGGCACCCCCTTTCCCTCCTTCCCCTGGCTTCCCCGGCAGCCGGAAGGGAAGCGCCCGCGGGGAGGGCCGCGGCTGGGCTGGGCCGGGCCCTGAAGCGAAGAGACAGAGAGAGAGCGAGCGCGCGAGGGAGGCGGAAAGACAGACAGGTAACGGCCGGCGAGGAGGGAGGGGCTTAGCGAGGCTCCGCCCCCCAGAGCAACGGGGGGCGCTGGGGGAGCCACGGCGCCTGGGGGAGGGGGCAGCCTCCCCCTCCGGGGCGCCCCCCACCCACCCACTGCCGGGGCCGGGGGGTCTCTCTGAAACTCCCACGACCCTGGGTTGGGGTCTGCACGGTGCACCCCGTTTCCCCTGCAGAGACTGGCAATCCCCTGGCCCGCCCGAGCTGGAGAATCTGGGCTGAGCTGGGGGCAAACTAGCCAGGATGCGGCGGTTGAGGCTGGGACGAGGTCGGGGAGGACTTGGGTTTTATGTTGCAGCTTTGGTTGGGATGCGTGGTGGCCTCTCCTGTGGAAGCAGCAAGGGAGAGTCTACCGCGGGGGTCTCCAAGCTTGGCCCCTTTGATGACTTGTGGACTTCAGCTCCCAGAATTCCTCAGCCAGCGTTCTGGGAGTTGAAGTCCACAAGTCA